GGGGTTGCGATGGGCGCCCCCCCCCCCCCCCCCCCCCCCGAAGCAAAAGTAGAGGGAGCAGCAGAAGGCAAAAACTTCAGCTGCTGTTCGAGGCAACAAGGACAAATGATTATGAAAAGGGATTTTTTTCTTCGTGAAGACTCTAAATGGGACTGAAATTGTTGATGACTTACCAATGCACTTGGCTCCTATTCAATTGTAAAGGCGGTCAGAAAGGTCGGGGTGCAGTCTGATGTGCCACGGCTAGTTGGTGGTGGCGGTGACCGAACGAAAAGGCGGAAGCGAGCGGTCGATCGGGGCGAGGCGTGCACGAGGGAAAATTCGACGCCAACGAGGGAGTTAAGACTCGACGGTCGGGATGTCGATGGGAGATATTGGGGTTGAAGCTCGCAATCGAGCAGGCCGGATGATTAAGTCGTTTACCAGACAGAGCTGGCAGTTGACGGCGAGGAGTGATGTGTGGGGTGTTGGTGGTGTGTTGGAGGAGAAGAAGAGAGAAAGTCGAGAAGCATGAAAGGGAGAAGGAAGTAGACGTCTACTAGAGAAGGGGAGGGGAGCCGAAGGGATGGGCGGGCTCCAGAGTCTGGTGAGGCGAGGCGAGGCGAGAGAGCTCGGGCCAGCGATTGACAGAGCGGGCAGCACGCAGCACTGCCAGTCCAGTGACGGGTTGCGGAGTACACCATTGGCCAGCGAACTACCTGGGTACTTGAGTACTTAAGTACCTAAGATGGGGCTCTGCTAGCACGCCAACGGGAACCGACATAAAGTACTTGAGTACCTACCTAGAAGGTACCTAATGTACGTAGGCCCAGGTCTGGCAGGAGGTACGGAGCAGGCGCTGAGCGGAATAGTCAAAAGGCAAATCCAAGGGCGCGCAACTCGTCAACTCCCAGACGGTCGGGAGCTGGCTTGGGCAGATGACTGTGGCAAGCAGGCAGGCAGGCAAGCAATTGGCAAGGCACTGGTGCCACAAAGGAGACGGCAAGTTTTGCCACAACTCGGCACAAGGGGTCAACAGGGCTCGAGTGACAAAAGCTGACATCTGGACAAGGACGGCTGACACAGCAGCAGATGATCAATGTTCAAAACAAGCACATGCAGCAAGTGCCAGAGGGCCGCTTTGGGGGTGGCGGGAAGGCTTAAGCGCTGGAATTGGGTCCTGGAGCCCGCGCGTGTTCCATGTTCTTGGAATGTCCAGTGCTGGTTATCAGAGCGTCAGGCCAGGTCCGCCCACTGGACTCGAGCGCCAGGCTGGTCTGGTACGTCTGGTACCACCATGATTCTAAGATTAGCTCTACCGGGCTGTTGGAGCGGCTACAACGTTGGAAACGTCCAATGCTGCCCAGACCGCCTGCTCAGATGCCTGTGGTAAATGGATGAGCGCCCCGAGCAATTGACCCTGTGGTTGCGCATGGATGCAAGCCCCCAAGCAAGACCCTGTCAACCCATCACCTCGCCGCGCCCGTTCCCAAGTCCAAATGTCAAGCTGCCCGCTCAGGGATGTTCAATGTTCAGACACGCTGCTGGGTCGAGCGGCCCGCCGTAATCTCGACGTTCGAGATGCTCCCTCTGCCTTGCAGAAGCCAGACTGACTCGGGCTGACGCCTCGTGCTTGGAGACGACGGGAAACCGCCAGCCGCTTGGGCTGACACGACCAAGCAAATGCCCAACAATTGTCATCATCAGCATCAGCATCAGCATCAGCATCAGCATCGGCTCCAAAGGCAATCATCAAATGGCAGGCTAAACTACTCGAGCGGAACGGTATTATTCTGTCTTGGGGTTCATCAGTAGCTTCAAACACGTCAAGCCAATGGCTCGTCTTCAGGTTCACGTCTGTGCCCAAGTCCTCCTCATGTTGGGCAATTCCCCAGCTCGGATTCAACCACCGTCTTTTGAAATCGCCAAGAGGCAAGGCGTGTGTAGCAGCCCAAGTGTGGGTACACGGATCATCTGCTCCCTTGCCCGTTTTTCTGCGACATTGTGACAATGCTGTGTGCGTACTCGGTGCTCCGCATGTGCAATAAGGACGCCCTTCAGACCATTACCGAGACACAGCATGAGATGCCTATTGAACATTCTGTCAAGTTGTTCAGGTTGCCAAGATACATTGCTCAACCACTTTGGGTCTGACTATATTCAATTCCTCTGCCGCGTCTCCCGCGCCATGGAGCACAACCATCCCAAAACCTGCTTCACGGATCGCTTGCTTTTAACAGGGCGTGTGGCGGCTGCTCCTTTCATGGTCGATGGTTGGTCAAGTGTCACCAGTCAATGATGACGATGATGATGGTGGCCATTTTGGCGCCCGCGGACGGCGTGGCTGTCCAAGTTGGTCCATCCGCCAACCTGACGTCCAGGTGGTTCAGCAAACATTCCCAAACTGAGACGATTGGACACGGAAATGGAGCTTAAGTACGAGCGGCGACGGGGATGGTTGGGCGGCGCCCTGCCGGCCTGATTGCCTCCCGTAATATCTTCAGCACGTCCAGGCATGCCCTCGTCTCCACCGGGCTGCGACATATTATCAGCGAGGTGCAAGATCCAAAGATGCCGGGTTAGGCGGTTATCCTTGATACACGGATTTTCAAAATGCGACACACGTGAAATGAAAGGCTCAGTTGGTGCCCTAGGAGAACGCATGAGAAGAAGCAAAGGCAAAGCCCGAGTCAACTTGAAGCTTGAAGCCAAATGGGCCATGGATAAGATGTGCCCAGGGTACGCGTGATGGGTAAGGAGGAGCTATCAATGCAACTTTGCATCCTCAAGTCGACGGAACCTTTGAAGGCATGACGTTGGGCATTCGATATCAGGCGACTTCTGGATGGCCCGGCTTGGAAGGCAGCCTCGTAAAGCCCTCGCGCTTCATGCCACTTGTGCGACGACAATCTTACTCGCATTACCGAGCAACAACTGTCATCAACAGACTCCGATATTTGCCTTGGCCGTACATAAATACATATACTTGCTGTACGGTGGCCGTCAGGCAGCTGTGCTTGACAGCACGGAGTGCTCAGCCATTTGGTTTGATCCAACGAATTGAGCACTCGTCCCTCCGATCTATTTCCGCGAGTGTTGACCACGGATTGCAAATCAACCCATCGTGGATCGCCCCACGCCCTTTGCGGCATTCCGTGACTGTCCTCCCACCCCCGACCGAGATGTATGTATGTACTAGTTAATATATCCGGAACTTGCGTACCAAACTGCCAAGGCCTTATGTCAGATTACAATGTAATAATACAGGTTATACGAGGCCACACTCGCCAAGAAGTAATCCTGACTGATCGAGTTCACTGACAACGGGGAGCCCCATTTTTGCGACCAAATATTAATAACAAGGGAGACCAGCAGAGTTGATGCAAAGAATGCGTCGCCACTAGTGTTCTAAGTGGGAAGCGTTGCGGCAATGTCGGGTTTTGCCGACAAGTCGTTGTCAACTACGTGCATAAAGGGGGGGTTTAATCCTACGGAAAATGGCAAAATCGCGGCGAATGCTCCGCATGCACGTCACCAGAGTCAACCGCTGCATATTAGCTGCTGCATAATAAGCTGTGTTTCTACATGCACTAGCAATGCCCCGAACACGCCGTCATCGTGCTCCAATCTGCCCAACTACCCAGCGACATTTGATTTCCCAACGGTGATAGCAGCCCAAATAAAGTTCACCCCTACTTTGTGTACCGGCGTCCTTGGCAGATCGATCGGTCAAAGACCCGGTCCGCGCATTGCAAGGGGCGCCTTGGCAATCTCGGGCTTTTTCCAGACGTCGGAATAGAATGCGAGCACCCCGCGCCCGTCTAAAAGCAGAACAAAAGAGATTTGCTACCTCCGCAGGGGACTCACCCGTCCTTAGACAAGCACATTCGTGGCCATTCTTTTTGTTCCCTGAATCGATTGTGCTTCAGCCAATAAGCCAGCCAAGCTGATGTGAAGGTCGGTTGATTGCGGGTTGGCTAAGACCTCGCCCCCACGGCCCTCTCTCCACCCCACTGCGTTAGAGAAATCTAAAAGAACACCCGCCAAAACCTAACTCCTTTATTCTGTCCTCATCGTCATCATCCCTTTGCTCTATTAATCCTATTATTTCCCAACTTTCAATGTTTTATAGGCCGCTATGAGATTGAATCATGTTATTTATTTATTATTATTTTTTACCTAATTTAAATTTTTTTTATTATTGCCAGGCCTAACAGGAGCCTGTTGCTAAATGCTGACTCTACTCTGCATCGCCGGAGGAGAGACCCCAGACTCTATGCTAAATGGAAACGTCCATGTCTCCGTTGTTGGTTCTGGTGCCGGGACTATAGAAACCTCTCAGCGAGGCCATGGCACCGTGGCATTGACAAGGGCGGCTCAACCCGCAAAACGGCATGCGTCGCTTATCTATGCACCAAATGTTTAGTATTGGCAAGATACTCCCGAATTTGCTGGCTATGGACGTCCTCGATGAGTAAACCTCTTTCTTCTAAATATTGAGTATAACGCTTGGATTTCTCAATTTGAAGCTCGACCTGCTTCACGAGACTGACATTGTCCGGATGGTCAAAAAACTTGCGAATCTCTGCATCTCTGTTCGCAAGCGGACCGAAGAGCATACGGAAGAGAGACGAGTAATATACGCTCATGAGACTGGAAGGGTGGCGTAATATCTGGGCAATAGTTGGGACTCTTTGAATGGGGCTCTCTTCTTGTCCGGCCTGTCCCTGTTGATATCCCCACTCGTGCCATAGCTTTTCCGAAATGCTGCATGTTTGGCGCTTATTTTGCAGAACATCGCGGAACTCGGCAAAATTCTCATCACGAAAGGGGCCACGCACAAGTCCACGCATGATTCGCAGTGTATCGGGGTCGTGACCGGTGACCCACGGCGGCGGTATGAATAGTTGTAGTGGGATTGTGCCTGTGAATTCCCAGTATATGATGCCGATGATGTGGAAGTCATCGTCAACGAATATATTGCCGAATCGTAGGTCTGGATGTGCCAACACGAACGGAGGACTGGTCGGCATCGAGCCAGTGCATTTGGAAATTTCCTTGGATAAACTGTCAAGTGCGAAGAGTTCCGTCTTGGCATCCCTATAAGTCAAGTTCTCCACGGGAAGCTGGTACGTTCCCGTCAAGATACCATGATGGTAATCCACAAAACGCTTCAGCGATGTGAAACCTCCCGCCGCAAGGACCTCCCGCTACTCCTTTCAAACTCGGTCGCAGTCATGGAAAGGAATGGGCCGAGAATGGGACTGCATTTGTCGTCTTCCGGGTTCGGCATCAGCGAACCGCCAGCAGGAAACTCGAGCTGACGTAGCTGTGGTAAAATGTCTACAATGTCGGTATGTCGGTATATAGCCGCTGCCGCTGTGCTTTTGTTGCGCACAAGAACGTCTTTGTATGAAGTTGCTGCCGGGAACAAGGTCCATGATTATGAAGGGCGTTTTAGCACCCTGAATAATTTCATCGTGAGATCGTGAGTGCCGTATGTGAGGACTTGAGGAATGGGAATCGTTGTGTTGTCCTTGATGTACCTATGCAGCACAGTTAGTTATCGAAGAGTTGACGGCGCAGAGATGGAAAGGGGTTTTGCTCACCGTAGCGTAGCAACTTCGGAGAGGACTTTTTGCCAGGCATGGCGAACCACTGGCTCGATTGGAATCCTTATGACCTGTGTCTTGCCCTCGGCATCAAAACGAACAAAGAAACAGACATTAAAGCTGCCATTACCCTTTTTGATAATTTTGCATGCCTTTCCGCCATTGTGTCTAGATGCCAAATCACAGACGGCATCTTTATTTACAGAATCGATAAACTGCTGGATAGCGCCCTCTATTTGCTGTTCTGTTGGTGGGCAGTATTCCAACGGAACCTGATCAGCTTCGCCATTGAGAGCATGTACATCTGCCAAAGTGGCGTGTCCATCCTTATTCTGCTGTTTATTAGAAGTGGATAAGTGGCCGTCCGAGGAGGGGAAACTCGGTTCCATCTTGACCTAGCAGTCTACAATAGAGGCTGGACAAACGACGACCGAATTGCCCAGATAAGGCGAGGTAAAATAAATGGCATAAAGTGCATCATCCTCAGCTGAGCAGTCTCGAGCAAGCTAATGCCAGCATCGTGCGCGGATGCAGATGAATGAGATCTAATCACGGCCGCCAAACAAGAACAAGAGGGTGGTTAAGTGGCTGTTGCAGGTAGGCGGCTGTTTTTCTCGACGGCGTACATGGGTGGCGCACGTCCCCTGCGCCACAGATTTGACTCCCGCAACAAAACACCACCACCACGTCAGCATATACGTCCTCCGTACAGTCAGCATCATTACTTCGTATTGTAGTGATTTGCTGTTGCAGGAATAGCTCACTGATGCGGCCTGGAATCGTGGTGCGTGGAGTCTAGCGGTAGACATCTCATTTAGCTTGGTACCGTGTTCAAACTTGGTGTCGATATTCGCAAATCATCCTCAAATCCCGGCGTCGTATCTACAAATCGACAGCACCATCTGGTGACATATTCGCGGTGAGCGTGCAAGTTTTGCTGTAAAGCCATTGACTGTTCAGACATGAAAGTGAAATATGGACCAAAGTGACAATCGACACCTTTTGTTCGCCAGCCGCCAGCATGACCGGTGCCTCGCCCAGCTGCCATATGTATTGTCGGTCAGCCAGAGCCATGTCGAGGTTGGCTTACGCGGGAAACAAGGAATGCGGCTCACGCCTCGAACCAACTCCCAAGAGAAGGCGCCCCCTTCCCACGCCAACTAGAATATGTACGTAACTCTCAAGCACCCTGCGACACCAGCCATCAAAGCGACACGCCCCGATTCGCCAGCGTCCTATCCAAACCACTCACTCACTCACTCACTCACTCACTCAAGCCGTATGAAGAAATGATCGGGCATCAGTATCCCCACGCCCATTTCCATCCATCCAGCGTCAATGCTATACAAAAATCTGCAAGCCCATCTCTGCACCAGGAAAGGACACAGCAACAGCAGCATGCAAGTCTCGACTACACACAGCCGTGTACCTCAATGTCATGCCCCGACACGATGTTCTCTTTGAAAACGTGACGCCCAACAAAACTGCTCTTGACAAGAAAATGGTTGATTTGCTCCAGCAGAGCAATTTCCTTCCCTTTCCACGAACCATTTCGCCTTCATATGCGACGGGTGTTTTGGCGGCACCAGCGCCGGAGCATTACATCCTCATATCAGTAAGCTCGCTGGTTTACCAAGCACAGCACACTCAACATCAACAAAGCCCGCCGTCCCGGTAGTAGGCCGTGGCGTAGAGACAGGTCTTCATCTCGACGCTTAATGTAGTCACGTTGCAGCAGCACTGTCACACCATCTACACGACATCACAACGTACGCCAATCCATCAAAATGGAACTCAACGACTTTTTTATTTAAAATTTTTTTTTCGATATAGGCAACTCGACCGATTCAAGAACGCCCCTTGATATATGCTACAAACGAGCCAAACGCATGCCCCCCTCGAACAATAAGCCGATACCTCCCCTTTGCAACATGGCACTGGAACCCTGTGGCCGCCATGAATAAATACATTAATTTTGAGTTTTTAATCAATTAAGATAATAATACAAGCACGATGCAAGTATCGTGCAAGCATTGCATCTGGAAACACCGTGTTTGGCCGTACCTAGCCAGAGAACCGTGAAATACTACTTAATACACCATATGTATGTAGTAAATAAATACATGAGAGTCCCTCAAAGAAACGACGAATCCAAAACGCAACGCTAAACACAGTAGCTTCGGGATCTCTTCACGGCGGCCCCCTCCACCCCGGAGGAGGAGGAGGCGGCGCAGGTCCCGGTCCCCAGGGCCCGGGACCGTAGCTATTATATCCCGCCGGCGGCATCCCTCTTGTCCGCGGTCCGTTAGAATAGGCCTGCGGAGGCGGGCCCGACATGTACGCAGGTCGGTAAGCGGGCCCCTGGGGACCCTGGAGGACAGATTCAAGCTTGCTCTCGAGGACCTGGCTCGTCTTATCGAGCCACTTCCTCGCGGAGCTCGCGCTAAATAGGGACGTGCTCGACATGCCGCTGCCCAGAGGACGGGGCGGGTACGGCGGCCGCATCGGGTTGTAGTGAGTCTTCGGCGGCGGCGGGAAGTTGGCCGCGTTGGAGGGCCCGCCGCCGAACCCGCCGCACGAGACGTTTGGTCGCCGCGGAGGGAGAGGCGGCGGAGGCTTTCCCCCTGGCAGCGGCGGGTTTTGCTGGCCTGTGCTTGCTGCGTATTTCGGTTGAGGGGGGTAGGGAGATGGCGGAGGCGGCGAGTACGGGGGATGCTGTTGGCCTTGGGGTGTCGGCTGGGAGTCTGGTCCTCCTGGTCCGGGATACAGGTACGCGGGCGGGGGAGAGGCGGGCGTGTGACCGGTGTGCGACGAATCTGTGCTTGCGTGGGCGACTTGCGGTCTTGTTTGGCGCGGGAGCGGCGATAATGACGGTGACGGCGCATATGTAGATTGCTGGATGTCGTAAGATGACGCCGGGGAAGGCGGCATTCCCGGTGAGGCCGTGTGATGTGCCGAAACGGGTGTCATTCCGGGCACGCTGGGTGATGGCTGAGCCAGCGGTGCCTGAGCGTGTGCCATGGTTACAGGAGATGGCGATTGCGGCCGAGAGGTGTTCGTTGCCGGTGCGTAAGCTGCATCTTGTGCTGGACTCTCTGTCGACGCGGCAGGAGAATCATCCTTCGCTGGTGGTGGTGGTGGTGGTGGTGGTGGTGAGTACGGCTTGGTAGAGGGACCCTGTCCGGGAACCTTGTCCTCCATGTCCGGCACAACGTCTGGTCGCTGTTTTGCGGGACTCATCGGTTCGGAATCAGAGCTGAGCGGCGTATAAAAGTGATGTGGTGCCATGCCCATCACACTCGGGGACTGGGCTACCGTGGCCCCTGAGGCAGATGATGTGCTCGGTGGCCGGTACGGCCTGTACGGCACGCCAGGAGACTGAAGACCTTGGATCGGTGATTTCGGCGGTGCCCCAGATAACGGAACGCCTAGTCCAACTGCAGAAACAACGTCTCTACCGGGCGGCGCAGAGTACGGCTTGATACCGGGCGGAGGGGAGGCTGTTGGCGCGCTGCTTGGGCGAGAGACCCGTAGAGGAGCTGGATACGGAGACGCTGCCTGTCCGGGATGCTTCAGCGACTCCTGCAAAGCCGCTTCATCAGCGCCGCCGCCCAAGCCATGTAAAGACTCCTTCTTCTGCGGACCTTGCTGCTGCTGAGCCTGCGGGTATATCGTCGCGCTGGGCGCGTCGTCCCCCGACGCAGGGCCGTGATACGGCCACGGATTCGCCTGTTCCACCTCGCCCTCTTTTGCATCCTCCTCCTTGGGTGCACCACCGCCGGCCGTCCTGACCTCTTGGTCCAGGTAAAACGGCCAAGGGTTCGCCTGCACATTCTCGTCCACTTCAGTCGTCCTCGCCGGCCTCCGCTCCGGCTCGTCGCTCACCCCCCGTACCGGCGCCGACTCTCCCGGCATTTCGAAGGCGAGCCCACCCTCGGGCGAAGTGACTGAGCCATGGACAGGCGCCGTGTCGAGCTCGGCGACGAACAACGGCGGCGGGTAGCTTTCTCTGGGGCGGTGGCGAACCATCTCTGGCAGGTGAGCCCCGTCCTTTTTTTGTTCGACTGCTATAACGCAGGATCTATAGCTATATTTTCGATGGTTGACGGCTTTTTTTTTTTTCCTTTGACCAAGCTGAGGATGGTTCTGCCTGGCGGTGGTGGTGGCGTCGGTTTCGACGCTTGGGCTGCGAAAGGAGTCAAATCCAGCTCCTCGGCGTGACTGTCCGCGACTTCACCCCTAGCGCATCCTCGGGCCTCGTGGGACGTTGGCAAATGTCGTCGAGAATCCCGGGCGTAACCCGACGTTGGGCAGAAGCATGGATGCCTACCTCATAGGCAGTTGAGCAGGCGCAGAAAACTAGACTGGCGCCGCCAAACGTATTTGTATTGTTCAAGGTTGCATCTCAGCCGCGCTAGTTCCGTCGGCAAGTGTCGACGATGGACCTGGACCCTCGTTGGCTCGCTCAGCCCTGACTGAATTCTTCCACACAAGTCCATCCCCAGATTCTCCTTGGCCGATCCGATATTATCCTGGCCCCTTGTCTTGGGTCTGGGATCGTAACCTTGTGCGAACTGCGGGCAGGGTGTCATTCCCTTGTCGTCCAACCCATGCATCGCAATCCTCCCGTATGTATGTACTTGTACCAAGTTCGTCCCATGTATGGGGCATCGAGTATATATGTCATCTGTCGTCTTAATAACCGGAATGTCTTGTTCACGTCGACCGGCTGATTAATTCACCACTTGTTTGTGCACCGTCAAAATCGTCCCTGGGTTAATACTACCTTGCAGCTGCCGCAGGATACCTCGCCTGACCAGACCCGGCCTTACTGCATCTGCCACGAGGTTCACCCATGCTTGCTTGCTTGCAGGCAAGGCAAGGGAGTGAGTGGCACCACCACTGTCACCACGTTTGCAGTTGCAAGTCTATGTGGGCTATTTCAGGGACCGACTATACTCCTGAATATATACAAACGCCTCGTATTCAATGGCACAATGCAGCAGCCCAGCTGAGTTATTCAGACCGCAAAGGCTCTATGATATCTTCACGTTGCACCAGTAATTCGTATACTTAAACATCTCGCCATGTGTATCCTCTTTATTATAAAATACTGATATGTTTCAGCACCGGCAAAGCATCCTGGCTGTCCCAGACTCCCAGCATACAAATTCTGCCGGCATATGTACATCCCCCTTTTTTGTTTTTTCTCATGCGTCCACTCTCAATACCTAGGTAGCCAGGATCACCCAGGCCATGTACACAACAAAATATCCCACTATGTATAAACTATAAAAGAATAGACAATTGTTTCGCTCAAGGCAGGCAAGAAGAAATCCAGCAGTGGCCGCCATCAAGAATTTTGCCCTAATGGTGAGGGCAAAAGAAGAACAATGCGAGTTTTCTTTGCGCTTCCGATTTGAGAATCGCAAGACATTGCATCGTTTTTATTGCCATGGTTGGATTCCATGCCAAAACGACAAATGCCAAGCAAAGTATCAATAATGGGGGGAAAACCACAATAGCCAAACAAACGCGCACAGGCTGGCTACATGTGCGAAAAAACAATGGGTGTTTGTCTAAACCAAGAAAAAAATGAACACGTGCGCGTGTCAAGCAGCAACTAAAAAAAAAAGAAAAAGCAGCAGCAGCCGAGTCCAACAAGAAAGAGCGCAATGACAAACAATCAACCAAGTGCGAAATCATTCATCGTTGCTGGAATCTCCACGTCGTCTTCTATCGTTCCACCGTCGCTTGCCGGCCCGCGTCTCATAGTGAGGTGCTATGGTTGTAACGTCCTGCATTGTGCCTTCGATGGCGGTTTTTATTTTACCTCGGTATGTGTCCACTATTGAGACAAGATTGTTAGTGACATGCATTTCATCGCAACACTAGCAGCCAGCCTTTTAGGTCAAGAGTACTCACGAGCTCGCTGCAGAAATACAGTCCGGCCTGCAAACACACGGCTCTGAAGCCATGCCATGCGATAACCCAAGTCGTTCAGTTTTACCTCCTTCCCGCGATACGACTTCCTCATCCTTGGCACATCGACCTCGCCATCCTGGCCCTCGGCCATGCTCACCTTGACTGCTTGGCTGCTTGACTTGGTTGTTCCCCGCCGAGCAAGCTCCCGACCTTCTGTCTCCTGGATTCCGTCGTCGGACAAGTCTTCGGTGAAGAATTGAGAACCGGTCGCGCTTGGAGGTGGACTTTGCATTTCACGGGGAAAGTAGCTTCGAGGGAATACGCTGGCGCCTTTTCGGAAGCTGTCAGGAATCTCATTGGTGTCCACGCCGTCAAGAGTAACTCGAACTCGGAGCCTGGAACCCCGCATGTTATCATCCACAAGAATGAACTTTCGCTTCTTCGCCTCGGGAACGTCAGGGAAGAGGCCCTCCGGTTCATCGACATTACCCCGACTATGCGATCGCCCGGGCATGGCATTGCTACCTGCTCGAGGAGCCATGTGAGACATTGGCCCGCCTTGAGCACTGGCAGGGTAGCCTTGACCAACATAGCCAGTGAAGACGTGGGCAGGTCTCATATCATCTCCGCCATGATGGCCCTGGCCGGTTGCACCTGGGTGATGATGGTGTTGATCTTCGTAAGCAGTGCCGTGGCCTCATTAATCTCAGTTAGCCCAAAGCTCTCTATCATGGTTGAGTGAGACGAAAAATGTCTTGGAAACGAGGCGGGGACAACATGCGAATCGATATCAACGACAAAACAAAGATGGGTTTTTTTCTTCTTTTTTTCTTTTTTGCTTCTCTTTGTTTCTCATTCTTCTTCTTGTCTCATGAAACAATGTTTTTGGTGGCATAATGACTGCCTGCACAGGAATAACTTTTATAGCCAAAAACAGGCACAAATTGAGCTCGTCTAAGAGTCGCATAAAACAAGCAGCAGCCATGATGCAAGAGCTTTGACAGCAGCGCAACTTCATGCGACTATGATAATGTACAGGAAATTTTCGGTGTCTTGGTCTCAAAGAGAAAAATAGCTCCTATAAATGAGGACAGCTTCTCTTTCCACACTCAACGCATTCGGGTCGTGAGGCAACTCCGGCCGACATCAAAGACCGTCATGCTACATATATATGACAAATGAAAGAGCAAAAGACAAGAGAGTAGCAGGAGACGACGGTAGAAATGTTACAAATCCGTTCCCAGAAGAAAAATGGCAAAGAAAATGACAAGAGAAACATTTTTGTCGCGCAACACAGGTGGTCGAGACACGATTGAGGAACTCTGCCCACGAGGGCTCACATTTTGTCGAAAGCGCAAAGAACTTTTTTTGCAGCAATAGATGACGGAGTAGAAGGAGTTGGTATCATGGACAAATCAACGCAACGATGAGTCGGGCAAGCCCGTACAGTGCAGTTGTGGTGCTAAGAGGCAAAACAAGCAATGCAAAGGCAGCAGATGCGAGGGTTCTGACTGAAATTACATCTGGTGGAACATACCGACTTCATCTCCTCCACCTGGGGCACTGCCGTCATGAGCCCCAGCGTGATGATGCAAAGGCTGCCCCATGCTGCCCATCCCAGGCTTGCCCATGGGTGGTGCCCCATGTCCCATGGGAGCGGGTGCCGCTGGCATCCCTGATGGCCCGCCGGGTCCAGGAAGATGAGTTGCGCCTGGGTGAGGCGTGGGTGTTCCCTGAACCTGCTTGCGGTTGTTCATCTTGGCCATACGGCGGACTCGTCGACTTCGAAGGCGCGGGTCCTGGTTGCTATTTCGCCAGCTGTCAACTGCTCTCTGAATTAAGCCTCGCTTGCCACGCAGCGGAGGGTTGAGCTGCGCCAAAGCCCACCCAACACGGTTGCAGTCAGTCTCGTACATCAGCCGATTTCCACGGTACTGGTCCTTGGGGCAACAAGCCCGAGGGTAGACGCAATTCTCCTGTTTGAATTCGGGAGAGAGCTCGTCTGTGTTAACTGACTCAACGTCACATCGAATAGTGTATTCCATCTTGACCCGGTCTCGCGAGTATTCAAACGCAATCCACTGAACGCCATTGCCGTCCTGTCTCACAACCAGCGGAGTTGTCGCGGGAATAGGTCCTGGTGCAGCATTAGGATTGACGCCCGGCGCAGCGTTTCCTGGGCTTTGTAACTGCGGTGCGTTTGGTTGATGTTGCGCCTGTGGCATGGGTGAAGTCTGTGCCTGCTTCTGCAGCTGAACAGGAACCTGCGGTTCAATCTTTGGTCTGGGGCTTCCGGTCATGCCGGCCTGCGCATGCTGCGCTGCGTGCTGCGTCATCTGGTTCTGAGGAGCCGTGTGCGACATCATCATGTTGGGCTGAGAGGTCATGGATTGCTGCGGATGATGAGGATGTTGAGCATGTTGCGCATAGGGCGACGCACTGGGGTGGTGAGGCATTGGCTGGTAATGCGACTGCGGTTGGTAGTACATTGACTGCTGAAGATGCTGCGACGGCGGCTGGCCGTACAGACTTCTGTGCTGATCATGTTGCGAGGGAGAGGCGACAGATGCTGGGGAGTTGGATTGCGGCGTATGGTATGACATTGGGGGGTAGGGAGGTCGAGGCATTTGGGCGGCGGCCATCATGTCGGGAGTGTCTATATATTTCAGACGGGTTCATGTCAGTCTTCTGCGTGAATACGATAGTTCGTGGCTTTGTTGTTGGTTGTTCTTTTCTGGTGACAAAAAAAAAAAAAAACAGACAGGAACATGAAGGCCTCAACAGACAGGACTCCAGTCAAGCGAAAATCTGCAGGAGATATGCAAGCGACTTACCGGCGGATGTGTATCCGCTGTTAGCACCCGGGGTGCTGTAGGGACTCGGATGACTGTAGTAACCCAGGTTGTCTTGAGTGCCGGCTGTCTGGCTGCCGGCTTGGTAGGCTTGTGGTAGGGAGTGAGTCGACGGGTACGCACTCTGTTGGTGTTGCGGCGGCGGCGGAAGCGAGTGGTGGCCTTGGTGCTGGCCTTGGTGCTGCGCGTGGGCTTGAGGGTGATGTTGCTGATGAACTATGCTCGACGGTCGTGAATGATGCAATTGGGAAGGAGGCGGACCCTGTTGCTGGTGGTGGGGATGATGCTGCATAGAGGCAATACCAATCAGTAAGACATCGATAGGAAAGGATTACTTGAACAGGTGAAGAAAACAAGCTCAGGTCGGGCGCGGTGGTGTTTTATTGCCCCCTGGCTGGTGTCATGGTCTGGGGAGAGCTGTGGTGGAGTGGGCCGACGTCCCCTGGTGGGCAGACTGGGATAGAACGGGTGAGGCGTGCCAGGCCCGGAGGGACAATGCTGATAAAGCAACCCTGCCTGTTCTTGGCCGGCTTGAAACCAGGTCTTGGTGGCAACGGCAGCCGGTGAAGAGATACAACCGTCTTGACGAACCGCTAACTTTAGACGGCGCGCCGACGCAGGCAATTGGGCCGTTGTATCATGGACATATACAGCAATATACACCCAAGAACCCCCAAGAATGGTGGCAAATATGAAGGAAACGAATGCGACACACAAGACCTCAACTGGGCCTTTGATGCGCAAAACGATGTCCGGGCAAAACAGGAAATACAGACAAAAAGAGCGCGCCGCGTGGTAGGATGGGCCGTGGGTATAGGGATATAGCAGGAGTATGGGCTGACCATGTATGCACTGCCGCCTTCTTTTCTTGTTTGGATCTGTGCAAATCCGCCTGCTTCCGCGAGTACAGTTCCAGCGTGCCAAAGGAAAATGCGACGACGGGAGGATGGTTGCGCAGCGCGAGGCCGTCAAGCAGCGACAATGTGGTGTTGCAAAAAGCAAGAAAGGCGCCCGGATATATCACGTCAAGGATCGAGCGATGCAGGCTTCAGAGCTACCCAAGCACTTCGTCCCGACTAGTCCAGGGAAGAAGAAAAAAGAAGGATCGCAGGGACCAGAACTGGAGAGAAAGAAAGCTCCAGTCAAGAACGAAGACAAGTAGGTTACATATGCCTTTTTTGACTTGGGCAGCCGGGGCCATAATGACTAGGGGGGTGGCGTGCGCTGAGATTGCTCGGGGGCGCGACCAAGGGGTCGAAGGAGGGTGGCGGGATAACGAGAGCTTTGCGACTAGGAATGGCCAACGCATGGAAGAAACGTGACAGGGGTTGCAGCTTTTGATTAAACGACCAATAGACGGGGCAGCCGGGGAGTCAGGGAGCGCTATCCAGAGGCCGTCCAGACGACATGCAAAGGGCCAGCTGCCCAATGGGGCATTGCAGAACCGGGGCTAAAGAGCGGGCCAAGATTCAGCCGGGATTGGCTTTGGCTGCTTTGACTGGCTGCTTGGACCGGCTTCTGACTGGTGCAAGCTTGGCTTACTTCTTGACGACCTGGCTGCGGTGCTGCTGCGTGCTGCTGCGTGTTGTTGTATGTGCAGGGGGGGGTGCTCCGCGTGCGTGGTCTTGCCTTGCTTTGCTTTGCTTTGCTTTGCTTTGCTTTGCTTTGCTTTGCTTTGCTTTGCTTTGCTTTGCTTTGCTTTGCTTTGCTTTGCTTTGCTTTGCTTTGCTTTGCTTTGCTTTGCTTTGCTTTGCTTTGCTTTGCTTTGCTTTGCTTTGCTTCGCGTTGCCTTGTCTTGTTTTTTCCTCGCCTTTTGCTCTCTGGCTGTGGTAGTGTTGTGGTGCTGGTGGCGCTGTCATCTCTCGTCCCTCGCGCTCCTTCAATGTGAGCAGCACAGCGCTCAATTTGGCTGCCACATTAACGCCGCCGGGCTGCGCTGCGCTGCTTTCTTTGCAAACGAGAGTGTGTGTGTTGGCCCACGAGCGGTGTGGGTGACAACACCACCCGAGAGCCATGCAGGCAAACAACATGCCGCCATGCTCTGCACACCACACCACCTATCCACACCTGTGCATTGCTTAGATGGTTGGGAGGTTTAAAAAGACGTTGGCGTCGTTGGCGTAGATGGCGCTGTCACTGGCTCTGGGACTTGGAAGGGGGAGGGGACAAGCCGTTCCCACAGATCCAGCCAAAGCCATGTCCCGTTGCCGCCCCTTGTTCATTACCACCACAGAAGCGTTGACTACTCCTGGCAGAGAGCCCTTGATGTCGATTCTATCGACAAGGACTAGGACCATGGGAGGCCCTGCCCGCACGCGTCGGTTCCAGCAGACAGGTTGCCACGGTCAACATTCCCAGAGAGCATGCGTGCGCTTGCAGAGCCAGTTCTCTTGCCTGGGCCTGGACCGGACGTTTCTTCTCATCGGCCGAAATCTGGGGGGGCTAGCCCTATTCACAATTCTTGTGTCCTCTGCAAACGCCTCGTCGCCAATAGATTGCAAATCTCCCGCTGCCGGCACCGCACTCACCCGCCGCCCGTCGTCTCTTTCGTGTCTTCGTGCAAAGGCGTCCTGTGCTCTCCGATGGTGCTGATTACGCCGGGTGCGCAGCGCAGCGCCATGACTGGCAAGACAATTGATCCAGAAACTGACTGATAGTGATCCACTCGGCGCACCTCGCCCTTTTCGACAGCCACCGCCATTGTCCCACGACCCACTGGTTGTAAACGCTGATGCGCGACTGGCCGTGGGTGGGGACGTAACAGGGCGTTGGACGACAGTGATTCAATCTCCACCGACTGTAGTCATATCCGCGTCGTTGCTCGCCATGGGAAAATAAGCGCGTGTGCCAATCTAGTCGTGACCGTTGCCTCATGAGCATAACTCGCTGACCGGCCCACACCATTTCGTCTGTGTCGGATGGAACTTTCTTCGCAGTTTCCCATTGTCGGCAAATCCCTAAGGACGTCCTGCTGGCGTTTCTGTCATGTCAAGCCGCCCATGCCTTCGCGCCAAACAGACGAAACCACCGCCATAGGGTCGACGAGTCAAAGATGCTGGGGCATTCGCAAAGGAAATAAGGGACATATCAGAACACACGGTTCCAGATGCAGCAATGCTCTTTGGCCGGGCCACTAAAGCAGCGCCCAGGTAGCAGAGCAATTGGAAATGAATGAACATGCAAATGACGGAGCTTGTGGGAAGGCTGGCGTGCTATGCGTCAGCCCACTCCCAGTTTCGTCCTGTTCGCTGTTCTGTACAATACTGTACAGTACGACGACCGGAGGACCCCGTATAGCAGAGTCGTGGCACACCCCTCCCCGGTCCAAGGTGGTCACCCTAGTCAGTAGTGAAACAGGAGACGTCCTGCCGAACCCATCATTGAGTCCTGAGCCGGTCAACCTTGCGACTAGGCTCATGGGGTGCATGGAACAACTCTCAAAAAATCTCGAAGGGCTAAAGAAATTTTCGATTGTGGCTGTTCGTTCGTTGTTTCGCTCCAGCTATTGCGAAATCACGAGTGTGCATCACTTGAGTTGCTCGTGCAGGAATAGAATGAGAAGGTGTTTTCGTAGCTGCAGTTATTGTTGGGGGCCAGAAACTTTCCACACCAGCCGTGGGAGTATCGTGTTGACCGAGACGTGTGGCATTGGGTGAGGTCGACCGCTTGGCCGTGTGTGAGACGCAAATGAGAAGAGTCACTTACAGCATCAGAAACCGGTTCGTCCTTAAAATGACCGCGAACTTGCGGATGTGAAGCCATTGTCACCGTCATAGAGGAGGGGAGGATATGATGCTATGCACGATATCAAAATGTCAGTTCGCCGTTGATCTCAGTCATGTCATTTGACACTCGGCGGCTGCAGGCAAGACCCGCGTAGTCAAGTTGTCGCTCATGTGAGCAACAATTGCTTAGCGGCTATAAAGGCAAGAAACGCGCCTTTGCGCTCCATGATTTTGACCACGTCCAATAACCGGGACAACCATGCCGACGTTTAGGCAATTTGTTGAAGACAAACTTACCAACGGACAATATTAAGTCTTGACAGCACAGACGTTGTGCAGCGGGCTGCGCCAAGAGCTACAGCTCGTGTGCAAATCTGCCCTGAATCAGGGCCCGAGATTGAAGCCGAGACCACCTTCATAACATGCTGTTAGCAAAATCTCTGGGGTGGGAATGATTTCAATTGCCCAAAAAAAGTGGCGAAATTCTCAGTATTGTACTCAAGTTAAGATTTCGCAAATAAACAGTCTGTTTCCATGCGGCGCGAAACAGCATAGCGAATATCAGTGCCGCCTCCCCGAGATTATGGATGTGAAGGTGCCGTGAAAGATGTAATATATCTTCGGGTCCGAAGCACAGTCCTGCTAAAAAGCGCGTGTAGATATTTGTGCGCATACACGTACCTGTAGGCTATCCTGAAGCTCTGATACCGGGAATCAAGAGATGAGATGCAGTAAAAGACTTGGTCTCGTGAGAGAGGACAGGGTTCTGCCTGTTTGTCAAACCCTTCGCCACGTGTGCGGGTGCAGATGGGATGTAAGAGCTAGATCCGCACGAGTTGTCTGCCTTAACATCGTTTTAGCCCAGTGAATGGAGACAATCCCAAATGGGTTGGGTGAGCATTAAGGATAGACGGAGAGTGAAGGGGAAAAGAGAAGAGGCAGCGGACACTTGACGAACGCGTCCTTGGGCTGATCAGTCACAACACACCACCACAACGATTGACTGTGCTGCAGAGCAACTGAGAGTTCATGCACGTCGCCCTCGAGTCCGCGGGTGCTACTCCGCAA